TTCCATGGTGCACTGTTCCTCTGGGACATTTTTCCTCACCAATACCTAGCACTTGGCTTTTCCATCTTCATCCACACATTCCTGTCCTCTTCCCTCCCTCCCTTCTGGGCCCAGAGCCAATTACTCTGGGCCCCCCGGCTTACCTTCAGCTGCTACCTGGTGGAGTTTTAGTACAGGATCATTTTGAAAACAAAGTGTAAAATCGACAATACTCATCGGTGGTACTTCAGAGAAAGCTCCAAGCCCACTTTCTAAGCTTTCCTCTTTATTTCCTCTCACCCAGGACCCTTGAGACATTGCTAGGAAACCAGCATTCTGCCCAAATTAGGAAATCATTGCATAGAGAAGCAGAACTTAACGTTGATTAAGTATGGGCTATGTTCTAGGCAATTGTGTGTGGGACTTGTACTCAATGCCTTGCTCTCTCACTCAGCTTTCCTGTTCACGGCTGCTGCTCCATCATTTGAACCATGCCTCCAGTCCAGCATTTTTGCTGGTATATTAGAGGCTTGAAGGCTTTTCTTCCCAGGCTGGCTTTGAACCAGGCACCTAAATCTCACTATCCTGAGTAGCTAGGATTACAGGCATGAGCCACCAGCACCTGGATAAATTTGCTTTCTCAATCCAACAACCTTTTGTGCTTATTTTGAAGAGAAGTAGCTGCTTAAAGCCACCCAATATGTCATGGAGCCAGGATTAGAAGCCTGGAAGTCTGCCTCCCAGAGCTGTGCCCCCATCCCGTCCCCGGCCCCTGCCACACACTGGTCTCAGGGCATGATCTTAAGCTGGTGCTCTTGAAAAGCACGCCGTCCTGACATCTTGTAGTGATTTTTGGAGAGAGCTGAGTTTGTGTTCTAGCTATGACTTTACCTTGCTGCGTGGCTTTGAACAAGCCCCTCAAACCTCCCTTGGTCTCAGTTTCCTCATCAGCAAAATGAGATTTGGGGTTTTTACAACTGTGACATTCTAGGGCCTAAATTGAGCTCATCCCAGGTGGCCTGGGTTGACACCTGCTGGATGAGCCCTACTTATCTTGGGGACAGAAACAGTATTGAAGAGTCTGGGCCTCCCAGGGAGGAAGAGGAACCAAAGGCCCTCTGTACTCCCCCGCCCCCCCCCATTCTCCTCCACCACTGCCACCATCTGACCCAATTGAAACCCAGCAGATGGGGCTCCCCCGACCAGTGACTCAGCCCTTGCCCTATCTGATCATCAGAGTTGATTCCTAGAAGTTGAAAGTCATTCTCTCCGGCAGCCATCGCCACCACCGCCTACTGTGAGGCAAGTTCTAATTCTGACCTCAACCACAGAGAGAGGATGGAGGTGGTGATGGCACATGGGGTTTTCAAGGGAAAGTCTGGGCTGGAAGTCTGGGGCCAGACAACAACCAAGACAGGCCGAGGACCAGCCCTTGCCACAGGTAGACATGAGGGGTGTAGAGTGAGCCAGGCGGCAAGCTCACAGCTCTGCCAGCTCACCCGGGGACCCTCTGTCTCAGGAGCATGGGAAACGAAAAGAAAGCCTTCCTTCCACTGTGGAGGGTTCAGAGGGTGACCTTTTAGACTCTGACTTTTGTAGATAGAACCCAGAAGAGATGCCTAGGCATAAAGATGGCTGTACTAGAGGCTGGATTAGAGCAAGGTTAAAAGTTCAGGCTTTGTAAACAATGAAGGAGGAGGAGGAGGAAAAAGAAAGAAAGGGGGGGGTGGAATATAGGAAGGAAGGAAGGAAGGAAAGAAGGAAGGAAGGAAAGAAAGAAGGAAGGAAGGGAGGGAGGAAGCAGAAGCAGCAGCAGTAGCAGCTGGGTGCTGTGGCTCCCACCTGTAATCTTAGCCACTCAAGGCTAAGCTAGCCCAGGCAGGGAAGTCTGGGAGACTCTTATCTCTAACTAACCACCAAAAAAAGTTGGAAGTGGCTCAAGTGGTAGAAAACCAGTCTAGAGCAAAAAAGCTAAAGGAGCCAGATGCTGATGACTCACACCTGTAATCCTAGCTACTCAGGAGGCTGGCATATGAGGATCATAGTTTGAAGCCAGCCCACACAAGAAAGTCTATGAACTCTTATCTCTAATAAACTACTCAGAAAAAGTTAGAAGTGACATTGTGGCTCAAGTGGTAGAATGCTAGGCAGGACCGTCACACACACACACACACACACACACACACACACACACACACACACACACAGAGCTAAGGGAGAGTACCCACGCACTGAGTTCAAGTTCCAGTACCAGTACAATAATAACAACAATAAGACTAGTAATAATAATTAAAAAAATAAGGGCTCCGCTCTGAAGCTCTTGCGTTGAAGCATTTCCCATCGCTGCTATTGACTCTAAGAAAAATAAACTCAACAAGAGCAGATCCTAATATGCACACAGCTCTGTGCCCAAGCTCCAGCCCTACAAACACACAATCAACCAGCCAACCAAACAAATGAAGCAAGAGCAGGAACTGTGCCCATCTTGCCAACCCCAGTGTCCCCTCCCTGCCCCCCTCTCCCGCGCTGCACCCCCCCTCCCCGTGCCTGGCCGAGGATGTGAACAGAGTGGCAGGAAGCTGGGAAGCTAGCTATGACTGACAGATGCCTCATGACAAGGTCAGTCGGCAGACAAGTGACAGTGTATTAATGGTGACAGGCCACCACCCCTCCCCGCCAACCATGCCACACACCCAGTATGTGAACTCCTCTCCAGCTTCATTTCTACCTTCCAGATCTCATAGGTGTCATGGTTCACCCCTCACCCCGAGAGCTCAGTGAGAAGGGGACTCAGGAACCACTGCTCCAGCTTAGTTCAATTATGTTCAAAGCCACCCATCCTGACCATCTAGTTCTTTTCAGATTATATGGTGTCAGAGAGCAGAATTAACATGACCCAGAGTGAAGACAGTGCTTGGTGGTTTACGCCTGTAATCCTAGCTACTTAGGAAGTTGAGATTTGAGGATCACAGTTCAAAGCCAGCCCGGGCAGGAAGTCCATGAGACTCTTATCTCCAATTCACGACCAGAAAACTGGAAATGGTGCTGTGGCTCTAAGTGGTAGAGCAGTAGCCTTGAGCAAAAGAGCTTAGGGACAGCTCCCAGACCCTGAGTTCAAACCCCATGATTGACCAAAAATAAACAAACATCTGTTCCTCCTTTCTGAGAGGGACAGAAAACAGCACAGTCCACCCAGCAATCTCCACAAAGCCAGAGTCTGTGACAATCTGTTCTGTAAAGATACACAGCTGGCACAACAGCTGAAATAGGTATGTGGTGACTCACCATCATTAGCCAAGACCCACTAGGTTCTCAGGAAGTCTTGTGAACTAGAAGGGGCCATGGCGGGACTCACCACTCCTAAGTCCTTTCTGTCTCTAAGGGCTCTGCTCTCTTCCTTTCAAGAAGTGCTGGTACTTCAGGCTAGTGTCTCCACCAGGGTCAAGCCTGAGAGGAAGCCATCTCTTAGAGCTTCTCCATTACTTTTGTTTTTGTTTTGCCAGTCCTGGGGCTTGAACTCAGGGCCTCAGAGCGGTCCCTGAGCTTCTTTGGCTCAAGGCTAGTGCTCTACCATTTGAACCACAGCGCTACTTCCAGCTTTTTCTGCGTATGTAGTACTGAGGAATCAAACCCAGGATTCATGCATGTGAGGTGAGCATTCTACCACTGAGCCACATTCCCAGCCTACTTTTTAAAAACTCTATTGTAGAAATAAGTGCTGGTGGCTCATACCTGTGATCCTAGCAATTCAGTAGACATGTTGAGTGAGGCGGGCATCTCCTGTGCATCAGCAGTGAGTTCCTGGGAACTAGATCTTTGATTTTGTGAACTAGAGCTCCTGGCACTCAACGGAAACAAATTGGATACCTAAATAAGTTAGGAAGAAGCCAAGAACTAGAGGGCTCTTCCTCCGCTCCATATAACTGTGTGACCTGGGCAAGTCTCTGCCCTGGCTTGGGCACAGTTCCTCACTCTGTAAACGTCCTATGCCAACTTTGCGTGCTACCCTCCCGATCCTTTCTCAGGTGCCACCACCGCTTCTTGGCTCCTCACAAGACATGCAACCTGATTGGCCCATGCCTTTCTCCCTGTCCCTCAGTTCCCTCCCAGCTTCAGCCCTGTCTATGATTATTAATTAGCTCAGTCAATATTTTTCTCATAAATTACGCTATTTACCAGGAGACAGTTTCACTCACATCTAAGAGGTCCAAGCAGAGTGAGGACAAACAGGTTGAATCAGCAGCATCAGTTTATGAAGCTCAGAGAGTGTGCTGACTCAGTGTGGCTAAAATCAGGCCACCCCAGGAAGTGGTAGGGACCCCGCCTTGGCAGGTTTGCTCTGCTATAGCGAGCTTCTTAAATATCTTGGGGATATCCTACACTTTTTTTTTTTGCTTGGGGGGAAAAAATGTTTGGAAACACTGGCCTGAATGATTGCTAAGAGGTCTCTCAGCCCTGGTTTTAGATGCTCAGGAAAACGCCAATGTCAACCTCTTAGCTAACTTTTTTCTTTTTTCTTTTTTTTGTCAGTTGTGGGCCTGAACTCTGGGCCTGGGCACTGTCCCTCAGCTCTTCAGCTCAAGGTTAGCCCTCTACCACTTGAGCCACAGCACCACTTCTGGCTTTTTCTGCTTATGTGGTGCTGAAGAATCGAACCCAGGGCCTCATGCATGCAAGGCAAGCACTCTACCACTGAGCCACCTTCCCAGCCCCTTAGCTAACTTTTAATTGTTAGTTTGTTATAGCTTTATTTTTAATTTCAATTTGTTTTGTGTATGCCAATACTGGGGCTTTTGACCTCAGGGTCTTGTGCTCCTACTCAGCTTTTTCTTTTTTTTCTTTTTTCTTTTTCTTTCTTTTTTTTTTTCAGTTTTCATAAAAGTCAATTTCATTATTGGTGGGTGGCGCTTTTAACAGTTACACACATTTAAGTAATGTATAGATGTGTGTACCAGTGCAGCATTGGTAACTAGATAACCAGTTCAACTAGAAACCAGCTAACAAGTAACTGTCTAATATTTAAAATACAACTCTTGTTTAGATCATCCTTTGTTTGGATCACCTTCTCGGGGAAGAAAGAAGCCTGATGGTCACAATGGAAATATAGTACTCCAGCTGAAAGAACCTCTGGAAATGAATATCAGAAGATTGGGTCTTAATATATTTCTGCTCAGCTTTTTCGTTCAAGGCTTGCACCCTATCTTCATTTTTGGCATCTTGCTAGCTGACTGGGGATAAGAGCCTCATGGACCTTTCTGCCAAACAGTAATTTTTAAATCTCAGCCTGAAGATTATGAGCGTGAGCCACCAGGGCCTGGCTTCATTTCCATGTGTTAGCCAACTTCTTAAAGCTGTGTTTGGTTTACAGGAAAAGGAACAGGAAGTATAGAGAACACTCATCTACAATAATGGTTGGGCAGCCACCACCACCATCCACTAGACCTGGATTCCATATTAAACATGAACTCCACATTCCTATTGCTCATTTGTTGTTACTAAGTAATATTCCATATTGCTGCCATCTTGATTGCTTCCATGTTATCAATTATGAATAAAACTTCTCTAAACAATTGTGGGCAGACTTTTGCCTGGACATAAGCTTCCAAGAAGCATGACTAATCTCTGTCTATTTCATGGGTATTCTCGAATATACCATGGTTAGGGCCAGGCCCAGCCCTTCACGTGGTTCCAGTTCATTGCCAAAAGAACCTTGAGACTGACTGCTGTGATTCCCAGCTCACAGAGGAGCAAACTGAGGCTCTAGGAAGTGAAGCCACATGACCATGGTCACATGTCTGCGTTATAAAGCCAGGATGCCAGCCCAGGCTTTCAGCCTTAGAGAAGGTATGTGAACCGGAGTTCAGGACAAGAAGATGCCTACCAGTTTCCTTTTCCTTTCAGGTTTGCTTTGATCCTTTCCTCCTTTGGACCAAAATGAATGAATCAGTTTTCCAATCTGGTTATTCTCGAAGGAGCATCCTTTCCTTCCCAGCTACGTACTGTTTAATTGGGAAAAAAAAACAACCCTCTGCCTCTGAAGCCAGTGACCTACTTTTGGCTAATTGAAGTAAGGTCCCTTAACCCATGGCACTCTCTGGGAGTCCCTTCCTCACTCAGCACATCCTGGTTCTCTCAACAACTCTTGGTTGTGGAAAAGCAAACATTGTCAAGTGGATGGATGGCTTTCTCATACAAGATCCTTCTCTCCTGGTGCCCATAATTGTGCCATCTCTGGGGAGACGGGGAACAGGGTCAGGCCTGTAGAGAGACATAATCTCCTCAGGTTCCCACCATAGCCTGTGGTGGGCATGGGCCATAGCGCTGAAGTTGGGGTGGGAAGGGGCCGTGTCAGCCTGCAACTGGGCCTGGCTTCCAAGCCCAACCACTCTTCCCAAATGGCCTTCCCTGCCTTCCCTACCCCTGGCCATTCCCTCTATCCCCAGGCCCCCCTAAGTACCAATAATGGAAGTGCTTACTAGGCCCAGCAACAATTCACCCTTATCTTTTATTTATAGCTGACAAAGCTCCAAGCAGGAAAAATATAATCACACTTTAAATAATGGAAGTTGTAGGTATTAGAGCTACACGGGCAGTTACCGGAGTTGTGGCGATATCTCCCCACAGACCTCACGGGGCGCATGCCGACTGCATTTTTAATTTTTAAAACATATTTCTTCCCAAATTATTCTGCGTTACCGAGGAGCCACATTTATGGGGGTGATAAATTACTGTAATAAAGTACCTCTTCTTCAAATATATAGGACGAAGCCATGCGGAGCACAGCCCGGCCTAGGCAGCCCCGAGAGAGTGGCGCCAAATCCCACTGCCTCGCTCCTCGCTGTAATTACTTGGCCAATGTGTCCTACATTTTTAATACAGTCCCGGGTTTTCTTTAAGCAAAGAATTGGAACTGGCCGCTAATTTGTATTGGTGGTGGTGGTGGACGTGCAAGGCCATACAGACGAGAGTTCCTGCACTAGCACCTTTAGACGGCAGGCATGTGAAATGCAAACACATGTGTGCCTACGTGTGCCCCTGTGTGGGAGCAAGCACGCACACGTGTAGATGTCCGTTCATGTGTGTGCAAGCCTACACGGGTGTGTTAAGCTGATGGAAGCCCAGATATGTGCATGTGTATGTGTTCACACATCCCTGGACATGCACATATATGCACACGCTTGGGTGCTGGCTGAACACACGCACTGTGTGTGTACACAGTACACACGGCTGCATGGATCTTGCGTGTGAAGGCACACTGGTGTGGGGTGTGTCCGGGTGTGTTTTCCTGTACTGACCTGCCTTCCCCCAGCCCTCTGTGTGTCTGACCCCTTCTGCACTGAACTACCCCTCCTCCCAGCCCCACCCTTCCTTGGACAATAAAGCACCGAGGCAGCCCACAGGCTCAGCCGGCAAATGAGTCTTAATTAGCTCTACAACCTTGGATGGGCTCCTTGGTGCCTCAGTTTCCCCATCTGTACAGGGAGGTTTATTTGAAGACTACTCACCTCCTCAGGTGACTGAGGAGATTGGGGGGTTGGGTGGATGGAAAGCACCTTGAATACAAAAGCTAACTATTGGTCTTCTTTCCTGCCTGCCGGGCATGGTCCAGGCTGCTGGCACCTTCCTCAGGAAGGACCAGACAAGAGATAGCCCAGGCTGAGAAACCATGACCCAGCCCTTAGTCTCCTCCTGCCCCAGCCTGGTTGAGGAGAGAGAGAGGAATGGTGAGAGGCCAGCTGTGCAGTGGCGCCGGGGCCCTGCCTCATCTCCAAGCATATAGGCTCTCATAGGCCACACCGTGCCCGCATTACCTCATCACCTCTGGTTTTGTTTCTGATGGGTTTCCTGCTGGTCCTAGGACTTGAACTCAGAATCGAGTGCCCTTGCTTGGCTCACTGCTGGCCCTCTACCATTTGAGCATACCTCTACTTCCTGGCCTTTTTTGCTGGTTAGTTGGAAATAAGAATCTGAGTATGTGTCTGCCTAGGTAGCTAAGATTATAACGTGAGCCACCAGTGCCTGGCACATGTCAGCTCTGCTTCGTTAGCTCAGCCCAGAGCCCGGCAGTGCGGACACATGAGCAGGTGTGTGCAGTATGGACAAAGGCAGGATATAGACAACAGGAAGCCAGGGGGGCAGACCTTGCCTGGAGGTGGCTTTTGACTTTTAGAGAGGACCAGGATCTTGGATAACAGGGAGGTAGTGAGGCTGGTGTAACAGAGAGGAAGACAGCAAGCCAACAAGGGAAGTGCAGAGCATTACGAGCAGGGTCTGTGGACATCCGGGGTTCCATCCTGACAGGGACCCACCAGTCATCGGTACCATGATGGGCAAGCTGCCCACACTGTCACTGTCCCCATCCCTCAAGACTGGCCTGGGGACGTTTCCATCCTGCTCTTTCTGGGCAGCCTTCTGCAGGAGGTGGCACATGCTTTGATGGCACTGGGGAACTAGGCAGGGAGGAAGGGCAGGGGGCGGGGGTGAGAGGAAGACCATGGGAATCGCATCTGCTCTGTGTGTTGAGTGTCCAGACTCGTGGGCAGACATGGAGTGGACAGACATAAGGATACGTGTTACTGCTGGCACAGCAGATTCACAGGCTCCTGCCCCTTCCCCCCGCCCCACAAAGGTGCCCGTGTTCCCTTGACTTCGTCCATGCTGCTCCCTCTGCCTAACATCCCACCACAACTGGCCTAGAAAACCCTTTGGAATCTACCAGGGCTGCCTCAGATCTCACCATGAGCTCCCCGCCTTCTGATCTAAGGGACATCTTTCCTCCCTTCTTGGGGACTTCTTTGGACCCCAAGGAGGACATTTGCTGGCAGCCCTCTGGTGTTATGAGACACATAGGTGCTGGCAGACACCTCTTTTTGCCCCTTAGCCCCCTAGCCCTGATCTCCTCACTGTTGGATTCCCCAGGCCCAAACACAGACCCTGACATGGAGACGGTGCCTCTACTTCCCCATCTGGAGTCTGAGATGTAACAGTGCTGTTAAGAGGGTCCCAAGAGTTCATGTTTGAATGGCAATGCGCCGAGCCAGCATTGGCCATTATCACTGTCTGTGTGGCTCACAATGACCCCAGAGGCCCGGCAAAGGGAGGGCCAGTGGCTAAGGTCGCCAGCTCTGCTAGAGAGTAGCAGCCAGACTTCATCCGGGTCTTTTTTTTTTTTTTTTTGGTCAGTCGTGGGATTTGAACTCTGGGCTTGGACGCTGTTCCTGCACTGTTCAGCTCAAGGTGAGCACTCTACCACTTGAGCCACAGCACCACTTCTGGTTTTCTGGTGGTTTATTGGAGATAAAAGTCTCACGGACTTTCTTGCCAGGGCTGGCTTTGAACCATGATCCTCAGATCTCAGCCTCCTGAGTAGTTAGGATTACAGGTGTGAGTCACCGGAGTGTCGCTATCACCTGGGTCTTTTTGGCCTCAGTGCCTATGTCTCCCATGTTGGCTGCTGTAGCTCCCTCCATTTCCCCAAATCTCTGTCTGTCTGTCTGTCCCCCAACCCCCTTCTCCTTAATGTTCTCTCCACCTGGGAATAGAAGCTGAGACTGTGCAGGACATAGGGTAAAATATGGGCATTGATTTTTGACAAATTGGGGTTCAAATCCCTGTGGTCTCTTACCCACCATAGTACCCACCTGGGGTCTCTACTCAGTGGGCCCCAGGTCCTGTACCATCTTGAGGACTTTGGGGACACTTTCCAAACTCAGGTTTGCCACAGCTCTGAACAAAGATTTTCAATTTTGTAGACCTTTCCTAAATAAAAATCCACATTCGGGATACATCTGCACTGGTGATTCCTTTCTTAAGAGGAGTAGGTCAGGGACAGAGAAGGTGCTTAGCGTGAGTGAGTTCCTAGGTTCAGTTCCAGCAAAGCTGGGACACCCAAGTAGAAGCTCCAAGCCTCCAAACCAATCTACCCCAGGACTCTTGCTCAGCGTCCTACAGCTAGAACAGGCAAAAGAGCATTCACCCTGCTCCCATGCTCTGTCCAGACACCAGTGCTGCCCAGTGACACATCCTGGACCACAGAGTGGACAGGGGGCCTAGAAAGGCCAGAAGGACTCACTGTGTGAGTGAGGGTCACGTCTGAACTTGAACTCAGGATTCCCAAGACTACTGCTTGGAAGACAGCACCAAGGCCTGGTCTGGAAGCAGAAGGACCTGAGCCTCACCCATAAGGACTTTAGGCTGTGGTTTCCAGAATGTCTCTTGCTTCTTAAGGGCCTGACAGCAGGGGCAGCTGTGGGTGCCCCCTCCCCCATGCTGCTAAAATAAGAAGTAGCTTCCTCAGAAGGCCTCTGTGGTTTCTGCAGGGGAAGGAAATAGAGGCCGGAAACAGGAGGGGGCAGATCAGGGAGAGACCAAAACTGCTGCCAGCATCTCAGAGAGGAAGCGGTGGCACCCCCCCCCCTCAGCAGACACAACACAGCCTGGCCAGGCTGTAGCCCTGAGGCCTGTAAATAGAAAAGCCTGTGAGTTCAGGCTCAGCAAGCTAGCCAGCCACCCGAGGGCACAGAACCTTCAACAGTTCTTGGCCCTGTCCCTTCTATACTCCAAGTATCAGCCTTCCCCAGGCCATTCCCTTTGCCTACAAGACCCTTGCCTGCTTTCCCCTTTAAGACTCCATGTCTTCCCTGACCATTTCTACACACACACACACACACACACACACACACACACACACACACACACACACACACAGATCAGGGACCCATAGATCTTCATCATAAATGTCAGAATTCTCTCCAAGATTTGCCATTTCTTAGTGAGTCTCATCTCCACTATGTCGTACTGCTCTGCCCTGTGTGGTTGAATGATATATGATGCTGTGGTGCTGCCAATAGCTTTGTTTTTGTTTTCGTTTTTTGGTGCTGGTTCTAGGGATTGAACTTGGGGCTTGGGCTCTGTCCCTGAGGGTTTTTTTTTTGTTGTTGATTTGTTTGTTTTGCTCAAGGCTAGTGTTCTACCACTTGAGCCATAGGTCCACTTCTGGCTTTTGGTGGTTATTTAGAGATAAGAGTCTCCTGGATTTTTCTGGTCAGACTGGCTTCAAACCATGATCCTCAGATCTCTGCCTCCTAAGTAGCTGGGATTACAGGCGTGAGCCACCAGTGGCACCAGAGCTCCACTTTGTCAATAGCTTTGCTTTCCCAGAGGTGAGGAAACTAAGACTCAGGACAGGGAGCAACCTGCCTAAGGCCACGTCGTTAGCAAAGGGCTACTTAGGAAGCATGACACTGACTGCAAACTGGGGGGCATTGTGGCCAGGCATTGTCCCCTTTGATGAGGACATGAGCAGTGTCCCCAGAGTTGGGTGACACCACTGTATCAAGTGAGCTTAGGTTTCAGCCTGCCCCAGCCTACACTCCTGGAGTAGCTGAGAACTATAAAGTGCTGCGCTAAGGGATTGGGGAAATCCTCACAAAATGACAACGCATTTCTGAGTAGACAATTCTGGTAACACATGTGAAGCATCTCAGAAGTTATTTCTAAGGCCTCTCTGCTGTCTTGAAGTTTCTTTTCTCCCTCTAAAGAAATATTCCCTCTTGGATCTAATTTTGTGTTCTATTAAAAAACAAACATAAAGAAAAACAAACAAACAAACAAACAACAAAAGCCTCCTTTCCGTTGAGCCACACACGGTGGCACACTCCTGTAATCCCAGCATTTGGGAGATGGAGGCAATAAAATTGAGACTTTGAAGGCAGCCTGGGCTATATAAAATGACCCTGTTTCAAAACAATTTAAAGAGCCAAAATAAGAAAATTTTAAAAAAGAAGAAGAAAGGAAAGTGGGAGGGAAGAAGAGAGGTTCAATTCCAGTTTCAAAACCACTTCCACGTCCTGGGTGCTGGGAGTGATGCGGACCACTGTCCAATGTGGGACAGGCCAGTGCTGCACCCTCCACTGAGCCAGAGGGACGCTAGCTCCCCAGGCCCTCAGCCCAGTCACCCCTAGGACCCTGGGACAAAGTCTCCTTTCATAGCTGCAAGAAAGCTAAGGCCTGCTGCAGAGAATGAAGTGAAAGTGCTGCAGGGGTGAGTCAGGGGATGGGGGGGAGGGGGGGTAGAGTTGGAGCTGCAAGTGTCCTGGGGAGGGGAGGCTGGGCAGGAAGAGACACCAGAGGAACTAGGAAGACCTGAAATCCTCTCCCAGCCCCTTGCCAGACACTGGCTCTTCATTGTGGAGAGGTGAATGGACAATGCTTGGGACCAACCTTCTTTTTTTCTTTCTAGTCGTGGGGCTTGAACTCAGGGCCTGGGCACTGTCCCTGAGCGTTTTCAAGGCTAGCTCTCTACCACTTTAAGCCACAGCTCCTCTTCCAGTTTTCTGTTGGTTAAATGTAGATAAGAGTCTCCTGGACTTTCCTGTCTGGGCTGGCTTTGAACTGTGATCCTCAGATCTCAACCTCCTGAGTAGCTAAGCTTACAGGCATGAGCCACCAGCTCCTAGCCTTGCTCAGTATACCCCTTCCCTGTCCTAGTGTCTCTGAAGAGATGTTAAAGGGTTAGAAATGAGATGGGCTCGTAGGAGGGAATTGATGGGGCCAGATTGAAGGGTGGGGGTCACCAAAGCTAAGGGCCTGCTGTAAGGGTAGGGCACTGAAGCAATGGCCAATGACAGACAAAGCAGGCAGTAACTATAGCCAACGGCAGGTAAGGTCAGCAGTAACAATGGCCAATGGTAGCAAGGTTGGCAATGGTCAATGGCAGGTGGGCCTCTGGTCACTTATGTGCTTAGACCTGTGCAACTCTGTCCATCAGTAGTTGCTGAATCCTAGATAGCTCCTCCTCCTCCTCCTCCTCCTCCTCCTCCTCCTCTTTCTCCTCTTCTTCCTCTTCTTCTTCCTCCTTTTCCTCTCTCCATGCTTTCCACTTCCTCCCTGTAAAGTGGGAGCCTGGTACTGAGCCTATAGGATTGCTAAGTGGTTTGAACATGGTTTGTTCCCATCCAAACCCATCTTTAGGCTTCATTCCCCCATGTAACAATATTAAAGCAGTGTGGGGCCTTTAAGAGACATTGGAGTGCTCAGGGATGAATGTTTTTCTCTGCAGACTGTGTTAGTATGTTACTGTAAAGCATGTGTGGCTTCCTGTCTCACCTTGTGACCTGTATCTTGCCAACTTGCTCCCATGTGGTCTTCTCATGTGATTATGGTGTGACATAACACGAGGCCCTCACTAGATGGGTATCTGCCCAGTCTTGGACTTTCAGCCTCCAAAATACTCTTTTTTATTAGTCAGTCATGGGGCTTGAACTCAGGGCTTAGGCACTATCCCTGAGCTTTTCTGCTCAAGGCTAGCGCTCTACCACTTTGATCCACAGTACCCCTTCTGGTTTTCTGGTAGTTAATTGGAGATAGGAGTCTCATGGACTTTCCTGCCTAGACTGGCTTTGAACTGCAATCCGCAGGTCTCAGCCTTCTGAGTAACTAGGATTATAGATGTAAGCCACTGGTGCCTGGCCAAAATACTTTTTTCTTCACACATAACCCAGCCTTAGGTATTGTGCTTCAGCAAAATAAAATGGACTAAGTTATACTTAAGGATTAAATATATCACCACATGCAAAGCACATAGAAAAATGTCTGGTCCCAGAAGACCCACAACAAATCATATTATTTTCCTGAGGCTTATCAGGAAAACTGAAATGTGGCTTCAAAGAGAAAATTTAATACAGGGGCTTGTTATGCCTATGTTAGAAGAGCTGAGAAACAAGGACACTATAGCTAGCCAGAGATGAGACTGCTCAGTCAAATTCTACTTCCTAGTAGTGTTTTTTAAATTCTGGTTTTGGAGCTTGAACTCTGGGCCTAGGCTCTCTCCCTGCTTTGTACTCAAAGCTAGCACTCTACCACTTGAGCCACAGTTCCACCTCCACCTCCTCCTCCTCCTCCTCCTCCTCCTCCTCTTCTTTCTTCTCCTTCTCCTTCTTCTTCTCCTTCTTCTTCTTTTTCTTCTTCTTCTCTTCTTCTTCTTCTCCTTCTTCTCTCTTCTTCTTCTTCTTCTTCTTCTTCTTCTTCTTCTTCTTCTTCTTCTTCTTCTTCTTCTTCTTCTTCTTCTTCTTCTTCTTCTTCTTCTTCTTCTTCTTCTCCTTCTTCTTCTCCTTCTTCTTCTCCTTCTTCTTCTCCTTCTTCTTCTCCTTCTTCTTCTCCTTCTTCTTCTCTTCTCCTTCTTCTCCTTCTTCTCCTTCTTCTCCTTCTTCTCCTTCTTCTCCTTCTTCTTCTTCGTTTAGTGGAGGTAAGAGTCTTCATGGACTTTCCACCTGGGCCGCCTTCAAACCATGATCCTCAGGTCTCAGCCTTCTAAGAGCTAGGATTATAGGTGTGAGTGAGCCTACATGCAAGATGAGATTTAAAATGGCACAACATATTGTTTTTAAGGGATTAAATAAGATTGTGTGGAATGTTTTAGGGGATGCTGGCTCACAGGGAGCACTCAACAGTACTTCTAGTCAACACTCACACAGCCCTCAGCTCTCACTGCTTGATTTTACCAAGCAGTTACTACAGCCATCCATTTCACCGATGAGGAAAGTAAGGCACGGAGAGATCAAGTCTCATGAGCAGTCCTGACCCTTCGCATCCTTACTGGGGATAGCTGCCTCCCCAGCTGGCCTCTTTCCGGGCCTGCAGCCTGATGGATAATGGTGACAGATCGCTCATGTGTCACCTTTTCCCAGACCTCAGGAGCCGAGGCTCACACCAGCCTGGGTTTGAGTCTTTGATTTGTCATTTTCCAGCTATGGAACTTTGTAAAGTCCTACTCAGGGAGCATGCATCAATGGAAGAGGTGAACTTAGTTTCTTAGGCTTTTATCAAAAAGTAATCATACCCAAAACTTCACAGTCCTCGTGGAGTGGAGTGTATCAAGACAATGTGTAGGCCAATGCCTATTTGCTGGCCTCTAAGAGGCCTTGGCTCCTAAAAAAAATGACTTTTCCCAGGATCCTTTGCAATCTGGCTCAATGAGTAGTAGTAGCACAAGATTGAGGGGGTAGAAGAAGCCAAAATCTTTTCCCTCCCCCTCCCCATCTTCTTCCCCTCCCTTTCCTCCTCCCCTTCCCTCACTCTGTAGTGAGGGACTTGGGTGTTATTTTCTCAGCACTAGCTGCTCTCTTCTGTGTCTTGGCTTGTACGGATCTATCCATTCATGGTTGGTTGCTGCAGTTGGAGGGGTAGCAAGTTCTGCCCTTGCAGAATTGCCTCAACCCTGCTGTTTGGTTTCCCACCTTCTCCCTCTTCCATGTAACCATTTCCCTCGATCAAATTCCTCTGTTTGAAACACCTAGAGTGATTTATTTGTCTCATGGGCCCTGACTCTTACAGTGAGCATCTTGTGTCTTGCTTCTACCCTAGGATGTCCTCTGTTTTTCTCTGGCTCCAAAGTCTTTATCCAGGACAGAGGCAGGGATTGAACTCAAGCTACCACAAAAGGCAAGAGGATCCAAGATCTCACCCAATCTACTCTTGCCTCCTGTGCTACTGATATAGCAGTTGAGGTTAGTGTGAACACTGGCTAGAAGCAGGAGCGCTGATGGGCCGAGAAGGAGCGGTGGAGGTGGCGCTTGTCAGGAGCTGCACCACAGCCCCAGGACATGCAGCTCTCACCCACATGTGTACTACACGCACAGCACACACTGAGAGGCCATGCGTGTTTACAGACCACCTCATAGACACCATGGACTCACACAGAGATAAACATACACACAGGCGTGTACCACACTCACCCCACCATTGCGCCCATGTGCAGAGCGTTTACATCATGGTTATCAGTACTCACCACAGCCATGCTGTACCCACAACCGTGCCATAGCTAGGAGCGTGGCCTCCCTCTGTGCTTCCCACATAACTCTCATGTGTCTGTCCCATATATCATCAGCCACAAAGCACTCTGTGTGTCTGAGACAGGATTTGGATGTGTGGCCCAGGCTGGCCTTGAACTTGTGAAGCTTCTGTCTCAGCCTCCCATCCATGATCCCCAGCAGGCATGAGCTCTGACTTCTTTTGTTTTTGTTTTTTTCTTTCTTTTCTTTTCTCTGGTATTGGGGATCGAACCCAGGACATTATACTTGTTAGGTGAGCACTTTGCCATTGAGCATTATATCCCAGACCTCTGACCCACTCTTGGTGAGACCCTCGTCAAGGTACTTGGAGCCTGGCCTAGATTCCAAGGGAGGTGGGGGAAGGGCTGAGCAAAGCTCAAAGTCCGGGGGGCCAAAGTCCTGTTTGTAAGCTCCTGGAGGAAGTTGCACAACCTGTGCCTGCCCAGGGCCAGCCCGGTGACTCCTCTGTTTATTGTCACCGGTTTCCCCTTGGCTGCCAGCCCAGCCTAGCCAGTGACTGACCCGTTGGTTTCTCTGGGAGAGGGAGAGGAAGGCAGGTGCCCCACCCACTGCCTGGTGGCCACAGGACCCAGCTACGTGTCCCTCCGCCTGAGGTGCAGACACAGGGTGGAGAGCCCAGCCTCTACCCAGGACAGGCAGAGAGCATGCCCAGTTCACCCAGCCAGCTGCAGGCCCAGTGGGACTCCACTTTCCCTCTAAAGCCTTTGTTTAAAGGCCTCACATAGAGGCCCATGGATTTGAATGTTGCCAAGCAGAGTCGCTATGGGTGTCATTGGCTTTATGAAATCTACTCTGACTTCAAACATTTTTTTAATGAATAAAATGTCCAGCCATGTGCAGGAGGTGAGTTGGGAAGGCTTTGGAGAGCCATGGGAGGTCAGGACTGGACTGGGCTGGCTCTTTCCCAGTCCCCTCCAGTGGCAGCAGCAAGGAGGTGGAATAGAGTCAACCTGAGCATCCTTGAAAATCCCACGTGATGCTAAAGCTGTAAAAACCATTTATGTCTGCCTGCCTTTCCCTCGCCCTTCCCTCTGCTCGCTCTTCTCTTCCTTCCTTCCTTCCTTGCTTCCTTCCCTCCCTCCTTCTTTCCTTCCTTCCTTCCTTCTTCCCTCTCTTCCTTCCTTCTTCCCTCTCTCCCTTCCTTCCTTCCTTCCTTCCTTTCTTCTTCTTCCCTCCCTCCCTCCCTCCCTCCCTCCCTTCCTTCCCTCTTTCCCTCCCTCTCTCCTTCCCTTCCTCCCATCCTTCCTGCCTTTCTTTCTCAGCTTATCCACTGAGGTCACTAGATGGTCTGAGGAAGCAGTAATGTTGGCAAGTTTAGGGTTAAGGTAGTGTGTTGTTGGAATGGCCACACACAGAGAATGGCACAAATGAATAACCCATTGTGGAAAAAAGGGGCCAAGGTTCTCTCTGATGAGGAAGGAAGGGGCAGATGTGCAGTAGAAGAAACTGAGGAAAGACCCTTCTGGTGTTGGACTAAACTTGGGACTTTTCACGGGGAGGAGCGGTTTAAGTGTGAGCATGTGCATGTGCACACTCGGGTCCTCTAACAACGTAGCAGTGAGGGTCACACGCCTTTGCTAAAGGGAATGAGGTCTTCGGGCTGGCTGATCGCGGGCTGGGGCAGGGGGAGGGGCACAAATGGAGTCTGTATCACCTTGTTATGCAGGAAGTGAACTGCCTAAGGATGGGGGTGCATCACGGGTCATTCCAGCTGCCCTTGGTGGGTGACTCTGGTGGGCAAGTTCATCACCCCCCTTTTAGTGATGAGAAAAATAAGGATCTGCCATGTCCAAAGCTTTTTTTGTCAGAAAGGAGGCAGACTGGATTTGGCAGCAAGTTGACAAGGTTCAGGGTCACCTTCTCGCTCCCACCTGCTGGCACCGCACCTAATTACAGCCCCTCAGATGGGAGCCGATGTGTCATCGGACCAGGGGATTTTGGAAGCTCCCACCAAGGGTCATTATGTCTAATTACACGACTTCCAGCTTCTGCGTGGGCTGGCGGAGCCAGAGCGTCTCCAAGCGCAGGTGGCTGGACACTTGTGCAGCCAGGAAGTGGGGGCAGAGGCTGTCCAAGTGTCCACTTCAGGAAAGCCGGGTGCTGGGCCCCTCACAGAGACTGCTGGGGAGGCATAGGTGGAGCCATATTGTCTGCTCAGATCGCTCTTACCTGGGTAGAGAATGGAGTGGCAGGGGAAAGAATGGAAGGATGCACGTCCTTGAGGCTCCAATTGTCCTCATCTATTCCCTGGATGGATAGCCAGGCAGGCAGGCAGACACAGACATGCACATACATGCCTACACACACACACACACACACACACACACACACACACACACACACACACACACACTGTTCTGGATCAGGTACCTGAAAGAGCTCCTTAAACTTCCAAGCTCCATTGTATATTCACTTTGGGAAAAGGGTGAGGGAGGAGGAAAGAAAAGAGAAAGGACACACATTACCTACATCAAAAAACAGAACATCCCCACAGATCCTATGAACAGGAAAATAATGATGATGATAATGATGATGATGATGATGATGATGATTATAATGATGATGATGATGATGAGGAGGAGGAGAAGGAGGAGGCGGCACTGGTGAATCTGTAATCCTAGATACATGAGAGCCTAAGATGGAAAGAATGAAGTTCAAGCAGAAAAGTTCACACTGATCAGTAGCTGGGTATAATGGTGACTATCTATAACTCAAGCTATGTGGAAGGCTAAAATTTGGGAGAACAAAGTTTCAGCCCAACCTGGGCAAAATAATTCATAAAACTCCATCTAAGCAGAAGGAACTGTGTGTGGTTGCTAGTACACCCCTGTCATCCCATCTGTGGTGAGAAATCTAAAAAAAAAAAAAAAAAAAAAATAGGTGGATCACAGTCCAAGTATGGTCTTCAGGTAAGAAACAAGAATGACTTAATTGGTGAATTTTCCCAGTTAAAGTCATTTTAAAAATAATATTAACTATAATGGCTCACACCTTAATCCTAGCTATTTGGGAAACAGATATTGGAAGGGTAGTAATTCGAGGCTAGGTTTTTTAAAGAAGTTCTGTAGAGAGAGAGATGCCATCTCAAAAATAAGCCAGCTGTGATATGCATCTGTGAGCTCAGCTGTGCAGGAAGCTGGAGGCTTTAATGGGTGGATCTCAGTCTGAGACCAGCCCCAAATGAAAAAGCCACGTAAGCCGACCAACCAGCTAACAAACAGAAAAGCACAAGACCTTATCTGAAAAATAGCTACTGTAAAGCAAAAAAGTCTGGGGCTGGAGCTAAAGGGGTGACGAGGGTTACCTAGCAAGCCTAATGCTCTGAGTTCAAACCGCCAGTACTGCCCCCAAAATAATTACTAAACTCTTCCATAACATGTAGGAGGAAGACACAACTCTCAGCTAAAAACTACCATGAAACTAAAGCATGAGGAAAATATCAAAAGAAAGCTGCAGACCTCTATCCCTCACGGGTTCGATCCCCAGTACCAAACAAAAATAAAAAATACATTAAAAAAACCAAATTCCTGGCAGATCAAGTCTAGTAGTATGTCATACAAACCAACTACAACGCAAAATTGAACATTTTAGATATGGAGAAGATTGGGGTGATGAAAGTCAGACACTCGGGACACAGAGTATGAGGAAGATCCCCGGGATGTGAAAAAGCAGTTTGGTTCCTGACAGTAAGTGCTTCTTGGTATATTCATTATTTGCATATTTGCACATGACATAAAAATTTCCCAATTAATCCACTGCAAAGTATGTAATCCAGTGTGTGTGTGTGTGTGTGTGTGTGTGTGTGTGTGTGTGTCCGTGTGTGTGTGTCCTTGGGTTTAAACTCAGGGCCTGGTTGCTATTCCCAAGCTTTTGCGCTCAAGGCTAGCATTCTACCACTTGAGCCACAGTTCCACTTCTGGCTTTTTGGCAGTTAATTGCAAATAAGAATCTCATGGACTTTCCTGCCCAGGCTGGCTTCCCACCACAATCCCCAGATCT